AGAAAAACGCACACCGTGCTGCAAAGCCTTACAGATGTTTGACCTCATGCTGACGACATGCACTTTACACCACCTGTTTTAAAACAGTTAACTTAGAGTCTGAAACAAGTGTGAAAAATAATGAAAAAATCATAGAACAAGATCACTATCATAAACATATAAAAAACTCACTAAAAATAAAGACATAAAGCCCAAAAGTAAACCTACACAAAGCGCATATAAACAGGCAATTTTCAGAAAAGGTACAAACGCTTGATCGACATGAAAAGCTGCTCAGTCTGACGAACAATCAGAATGTTAAAGGCTCAGCACCCGCAGCGCTGAGGGAGGGTGGACGTGCGCACCTGCTACCCTTCCCGAGGACGACGGGAAGGGCTGCAGCCGTCGGGCCGGGAATGAGGCAGAATGCACTGAGATCTGAGAGCCTCCCTCTGTCCCTTCCTTCTAAAGTCCGTCTGGAGTAGCAGGCACGCACAGGACAGAACCACACACACATGGTCCCTGCTGGCTCGGCCCGGGCTGGGCCCCACCCCACGCCCACCCGGGGGCTGGCGGCTGCGTCTCAGTACAGCCACCCTGAGGTCGCTGCCCACCACCGTGGGAAAGGGTGAGGCGGACACACGCTGTTGGTGAGGCTGAAGCTCCCACACTGGCCACCTGATGCCAAGAGCCGACTCACTGGAAAAGACCCTGATGCTGGGAAAGATGAAGGCAAAAGGAGACGGGGACGACAGAGGACGAGATGGTTGGGTGGCATCACCGACTCAATGGACGTGAGTCTGAGCAAACTCTGGGACACCGTAGAGGACAGAGGAGCCTGGCCTGCTGAGGTCCACGGGGTCAGAAAGAGTCGGACACGGCTCAGCGACGGAACAGCAACAGACACACATGTCGTGAGATGCAGAGACTTCCTCTATGCACAGGGGACAAGCCCTATTACTGGGCGTGGGAGGGCAGGGTGTGGAAGGAGTGTGGCAGGATTGTGGCTTTGTCTGCATTTTTATATAATAAGGACACACCCACAGATTACTGAGCTGTTTATTAAAAAAATTTAAAAATCATGAAGGCACTGTAATTAAATGGAATCAGAGTAAGAAAGACAAAAACTTTTAAAAATATTCTGCATAGGAAAAGATAATCAAAATATTTACATGTATAAAAATATTGAACAAGCCTCACAATGCACAGAAAACTTCTAACATGTGAAAAACAACATCAGAAATATTCTATTTGATCACTTCTTTGTTTGGGCCAACTCATCTGCAACTGTGGTGTGATCCGTGTTAGTTCTCTGACAATCATCTCATCGAGGCTTCACGAACACGTGAACAGTGCTGTCACACGTGAACAATGCCTGCTCTTACAGGCAATGACCAGGAAGCGTGAGGTCATGACTGGAGTCCCACACCCCGCCCACCGTGTGGGTCTCAGCCCATAGGGCCTCAGCTGCGCCACAAGGCCCAGCTCCCGCCTCCACCCGAGCTCGGTCTCTATCTGCTTTGGAAAACGGGAGTATGACTTACCGAGAGGAAATCGTAAGTCTTCTCTCCAAAGAGCCTGTTGGCGGTTCTGAGCAAGTACTGTGTGCCGGGCCTGTTAACTTCACTGACAAGCTTCTGAAAACCCTGGTGGACATCTTCACCTCCGCCACTGCTCGTGCTTAGAGAGAGCGTCTGAAATCAAAAACATAAAAACTCACAACTGCAGGACGCCCTGACTACAAGTAATGGATAGAACACTGAAGTCAGCCTAGGAACCGACTGACCCTCCCCGCAGCTTAAAGCAAGACTCACCCAAATAAAGGCACAAGGCCTCTGGGAGCCTCCCAGCCTGCCTCCCGGGGGGTCAGACAGCGACGGCGGGCGCAGAAGTGCCCCTCAGCGAGCCCAGTGCACTGTGCTCGTGGTCTGCCTGCAGACAGGGCTGGAGAACAGGCCTCCCGTCTCTGCACAAACAGGCAACGGCTTCAGGTCTGGACTGGTGTCGGGACGGGCTCCGACCAGCGGGACACAGGAGAAGTGGCTCTTCTGGGCCCGCGCCTTCGTAAATGCCTGGCAACTCCACGTTCGCTGTCTTTCCCCCTGTTGCCGAGCCATCCTGCTGGGGCCTCGTGACAATGCGGGAGAGCGGTCACACAGAGGAGAGCTCCTCCGGGATCGGGGCCGCTTCTGTATCACGAGGCGCCCAGCGGGCACCGTGCGGCCAGGACGCAGAGTCTGAGGCCCGGTCCCGGTCATTCCTGGTCGTGGGTGGTTTGACGGGGGCCACAGAGAGAAGGTCCAGACAGTTGAAGTCGGAGGGCCGGGGGGTACCAGAGGAGCTTGGGTGGGAGCCCTGGAGAGACTCCCGTCCAGGGCGGGAAGTCCGGCCCTCCCCCCGGAATCGGAATCTACACAGGAGGTGCCCAGAGAGAGGGCGTCCCCTTCAGAGTCTGGGAGAGCAGGAGGGGAGTCAGTGATGAGCACCAGAGGGGACTGCTCCCCTTTCAGGCAGAACTTAAAGGGAACACGTGCGTCTCCTGGTGGTGCAGTGGTAAATGAGCCACCTGCCAGTGCAAGAGACTCAAGACTCGCGGGTTTGATCCCTGGGCCAGGAAGATCCCCTGGAGGAGGACATGCCAACCCACGCCAGTGTTCTCTCTGGAGAATCCCATGGACAGAGGAGCCTGGAGGGCTAGAGTCCACGGGTCACAAAGCGCTGGACACGACTGAACGTGAGCACCCCTGTATTTGCGTCCTAACACTTGCTGGGTGCACAGTGCAAATGCTTCTCACTCCCAGCCTCTCCAGCGGGCAGACGACCCTGAAAGTGATGGACTTACGGCAAAGGTCAAACTCAAGGCCCAGGCTCTAGGAGGGGGATCAGGACTCTGGTAAACCTGGAGACCCTCTGGACCCCAGGCCCTGGGAGGGTTAAGGGCACCCCCATGAGGGAGGGCTGTGACCCCCACGGGGAGAGGTCAGCGCCCCGCCGCCACTGTGGCCCAGGAGCTGACGTCCACCCCCTGTGCAGCCCGCCCGGGGCTGGCTCCGGGCCTCTCGGCAGGACGGGCCTTGGCCAGCAGGGCCTTGGGCTGCGGGTCCGAGCAGAGGCTCGATGAATGCTTGCTCATTCAAGCCTATCCTGCTGGAATCAGGTGATGTGCAGTCAGGAGCCTCAGGCCACCAGCCAGACAGACACTGGACGGCAGGCCCAGGGACTGGGCAGGTGGGGAGCGAGGCCTGTCTGTCGAGCAAGGCCTCTGGGATTTGGATTGCGGACTCTAGCTCACCGGACAAAGAAACACCGTAGGCCGCCACCCAGAACCGGTTTCCCGAACGTACTTGGGACATCTGGGCTGCGGTGTTGCTCCTGGCCCCCATGAGGATCATGGTCAGGGCAGAGGAGAAGCTTAGGGGTGAGATAAACACATTTTTCGAGTTGTCTTCACCCAGCTTTTTCAGAAGGGTCAAGGCAAAGGTGCCGTTTGCTTCTGACAGCGCATCCATGGAGGCGAGTCTGAAAGGATGGATTTAAAACCAGTGTCACGTAAATTCAGGCCATAGTTCGACCGCATCTCATCTGCTCTTAACTGTTGTGAACATTGACACTCTGTTTTGACGAGAAAACAGGTACACGCACAAAACTAGGTGTCCTCGGGGGGCTCAGACCCCCCTTTTGGGTTCTAACATGTGAAAACGGCTGAGATCGGCGGTGATACAGAGAGGGTGCTGGGCCTGGGAGGGTCTGGAAGGAGCTGTTGGTTTTGCTCCCATTTCTAGATTGTGTTTGGGGCCTATAGGTATGAGGTTATAACAAGAATCACTCAAAATGATCAATCCCAACACAGTTACACAAGTTGAATATTTTGTAAAGAGAGAGAAAGACCCCACTTAGCATAACCTGAAGCCTTGAGAGAAAAGAGAAGTAAAGGCCATAGAAAGAAGCATGAAAGCCTCAAACACAAAGCCCCTGATGCCCAGGTCTCCTCCTCTGGGACCTCCGCCTGTGCCGAAGCCTGAATCCAGGGCCCCGTGCCCAGGCCCCTGCTGATCAGGCCAAGGTTCTGTCACCCGTCTCGGGACAAGGGCCTTGGGACGTGCCCACGTCCACCTGCAGGGCCCGGCCTCAGAGGTCACAGCCCTGCCACAGAGGGCGTCTGGTCCAGAACAGGACACTGTGGGGAGGGACGGGGGTGCGCAGGCAGATTCTTGACCAAGTGAGCTGTCAGGAAAGCGCTCTATCACCTTTAGGAAAGGTATAAGAAGATATAAGAAAGATAAAATAGACCCATGGACTTCCCTAGTGGCTCAGTAGGTTGAGAATCTGCCAGCAACGTCGGAGACCCGGTTTCGATTCCTGGGCCGGGAAGATCCGCTGGAGAAGGGAACGGCTGCCCATTGCAGCATTCTGCCCTGGAGAATTCCATGGACTCCATAGTCCATGGGGTCTCAGAGTCGGACACGACTGAGTGACTTTAACTTTCACTAAGGTGACAGAAAAGCTTGTTTTAAAGCCTCTCTGGTGATAAAATAATCTCAACATGTTACCCCTAGGCTGCTCACACGCCGCCCCCACCTTCCTCACAGGCAGGTGCACTCCGAGGCGCCGGGGCTGCCCCACCTCTCCCGGGCCGTGCGGCTCCCACGCTCATCGCCGCGCGCTGCGCACGGTCCACTCTGGACCCCCGCCCTCTCCTCGCTGGCCCCATGTGCTCCCCCCTTCGTGGTTTCTGCCCTCCTTTGGGGAAGCGAAGGGTCCTAGGATGTTCTGACAGAACACGCACATCCTGACTTTCAGCATCACTGGGCACGTCTTTATTCCAGCCTCCCTTGGGACGGACGGCGCGGCAGTGTCCGGAGTGGTCCGCAGCTCACTGTGCCTCTGGACTGGACCTCAGAGGCGCTGCCTTGTGGCTTCCCAGCCTGAAGTCTGGGGACACAGCACCCCAGTCCCTCTCCCCGCCCCCTCTCGGGTAGGCGGAAGCACAGGACCTCTGACCTCTGTCCCTGATAGTCTCAATGTCACATCGCTGTGTCTGTCCCCAGATGGGCCGGCTTTATTCATTTGGCTGCGCACTTGGTGGGCCCTTTCAACCCGGCTTCCCTTGTAGCTCAGACGATAAAGAATCTGCCTGCAACGCAGGAGACCTGGGTTCAATCCCTGGGTCAGGAAGATCCCTTGGAGAAGCACATGACAACCCCCTCAAGTATTCTTGCCCGGAGAATTCACTGTCCATGAGAGAGGAGCCTGGCAAGGTGCAGTCCATGGGGTCCCAAGGAGTCAGAATCGAATGGACTAATCCCTGCATTCTTCAGCCTGGCAACTCAAGGAACTTCCCTTCCCCTCTGGGAACTTGTAAGGCCCTTGTCACCCCTGTGGACTGGCTCTTCTTTTCTGCACCTCCTCCCGGCACGCGCAGAAGCTGTTATCTGCAGGGCACTTGGGAAGGCTTGGCTGCCTGCTGTGGGCAGAGAACTCTGCTCTCATCTGCCCTCCTCTCCTGCATTTTCCATCTCCATGGTGTCTTCTTCATTTTCTGGAAGACCCAGTTGACTTTCTTTTCCAATTTTTCTGCTGCATTTCTCCAACCTTAGCCATTATATCCCTAATTGCTAAAGACTCCCTGTCCTCTCCTGCTCTTTCCTGCCCTCTGCTCCAGTTCCCTGGAGAATGTCAACACAGACTGCTGTGTTGTCTTCTGCTCCTTGAAACGTCTCTCTTCTCCTGGGTTTTTTGTTGCTGTGGTTGGTATATATAATATTTGGATCTCTTTCATACACAGGCTTTCCACAAATGCCTGATAATTTTGGGATGTTTGCTATATTAAGAAGAAAACACAAAACAGGGTTGGAAATTGTTTACATGGCAGGATGTGAGTGATCTACGGGTAAGCAATTTTTTGTTTTCTTTTTTTGCTAAGGAACCAGCAAATGGAGGAGCAGCTTGGTTTGGTGGCAGGCAGGGTAGAGGCTGGGTTGTCCCACGGGATCTATGGGATCTGTAATCCCCTCCTTTCAGTATGAAGCAGGGCAAAGGCTAATAGAGTTTTGCCAAGAGAACGCATTGGTCATACAAAGACAGGCTATGGCAAAGGCAGAGGAACTAGAGTCCAAATTGCCAATATACATTGAATCATCAAAAAAGCAAGGGGGTTCCAGGGAAACATCTATTTCTGCTTTATCGAATATGCCAAAGCCGTTGACTATGTGGCAATCCGGATGCAGGTCAGGAAACAACAGTTAGAACTGGACATGGAACAACACACTGGTTCCATATAGGGAAAGGAGTATGTCAAGGGTGTATACTGTCACCCTGCTTATTTAACTTATATGCAGAGTACATCCTGAGAAATGTCGGGCTGGATGAAGCACAAACTGGAATCAAGATGCGGGGAATAATATCAATAACCTCAGATAGGCAGATGACACCACCCTTATGGCAGAAAGTCAAAAAGAATGAAAAAGCCTCTTGATGAAATTGAAAGAGGAGAGTGAAAATTTTGCTTAAAGATCAACATTCAGAAAACTAAGATCATGGCATCCGGTTCCATCACTGCATGGCAAATTGATGGGAAAACAGTGGAAATAGTGGCTGACTTTATGTTTCTGGGCTCCAAAATCACTACAGATGGAGATGGCAGCCATGAAATGAAAAGACACTTACTCCTTGGAAGAAAAGTTATGAGCAACCTAGACGCATATTAAAAAACAGACACATTACTTTGCCAAGAAAGGTGTGTTTAATGAAAGCTATGGTTTTCCCAGTAGTCATGTATGGATGTGAAAGTTGAACTATAAAGAAAGCTGAGTGCCGAAGAAATGATGCTTTTGAACTGTGGTGTTGGAGAAGACACTTGAGAGTCCCTTGGACTGCAAGGAGATCCAACCAGTCCATCCTAAAGGAGATCAGTCCTGGGTGTTCATTGGAAGGACTGATGTTGAAGCTGAAACTCCGACACTTGGCCACCTGATGGGAAGAACTGACTCACTGGAAAAGACCCTGATGCTGGGAAGGATTGAAGGCAGGAGGAGAAGGGGACGACAGAGGATGAGATGGTTGGATGGCATCACTGACTCAATGGACATGAGTTTGGACAAACTCTGGGAGTGGGTGACGGACAGGGAGGCCTGGCGGGCTGCAGTCCATGGGGTCGCAAAGAGTTGGACACGACTCAGCGACTGAACAACACGAGAGACAGAAGCTAAACACATGGTCACCAGCCTACAGACTAATTCTGTGAGCAGAGTGAGACAATACTTTCACGTTGAAAAACCACTTCTTCGCTTATTACCTGGTTCCTCCGTCAACTGGGAAATAAATGTCCAAACACTGGGTAGCATTTTCTAAGATCCTTCTGATTTGTCCTGAGCTGAGAATTTGACAATAACCCGTCAGATAATCATAAGCTGACTTTCATGATCACTTTGGAATAACATAAGAGTCCTTACCAGTCAATCATAAAAATATTAAACAAGTCTTAATCCTAAAAAAGAAAAAAAAAGGGGGGGAGCAAATTTAAGCAGTTTATCATAAAGACAGTGAAGATATCAAAGAAAACTATAGACAATCTATTGGGACTTTTACAATAAGGGACAGCTCTTCTCCATGCAATGCACATGCCAGTAAGAAGCAAACAGATTACCCAGGACCCGGAGTGGGTGCGGGGGTCCAGGATCCACACACAGTGCCGTGAAGTCCGCGGAGGCTACGGGGACTGAAAGGAAACCCAGGGTAACACGAGCCCCTGCCCCACGCGCCCACCTTCCGCCTCCTGCAGGCCAGTGCTGAGGCCCCACCACCTCACACTTTCCCAACACAGCAGGAGCACGCTGGGCAGGGACCTAGGACTTGGGGCCCAAATAGCTTGGCCAGAGGGGCGGGGCGGCCGCCCGCGGGGCGGGGCCGAGAGGGAGGGGCGGGCCGGGCCGGGCCGGGGGGCGGGGCCACAGTTAGCACTGCGCGTGGAGCAACGGCGTCTCAGCATCTCCCTGCCCCACAGGCCCACTAGGCAGCGGAGCGGGAAAACCCCACGCCCCATGTGCTGGGCGCTGATTGTAGCAGGACTCCATCAGGTGACAAAAGGGGCGAGAGGCGAAACTGATCAGACACGCCCTTCCTCTTCTGTCTGTTCAGAGGGACGGGGAAGGGGTTGTGTCGGTGCTGCGGTCGGCGGCTCTGATGGGCACATAACCGGCCCGATGGGGCCAGAAGGACGGAGCTGGTGATGCTGTGGGGCTTGGGCTGGCCCCAGGGTGACAGGGGAGCCGGGCCCGAGGGAGGGGTGAGGTCCAGGGGGAGGCTGGAGCAGGAACCAGCCAGGCGGAGTCAGCGGTGGGAAAGGGCTCCCTCCGCGAGGCACACTCAGGCCCCGGCAGAGGGTGTGGGCCGGAGCGGCCCAGGTGCGGCAGGCAGGGCTGGACGGACTGGGCAGGGCTGGGCTGGAGACACGCTGGGGGCCGTTATATCTGTCAGTCATGGGGCTGTGGTGTTGGAAAAGACTCTTGAGAGTCCCTTGAAGTGCAAGGCAATCAAAGCAGACAATCCTAAAGGAATAAATCCTGACTATTCCCTGGAGGGACTGATGCTGAAGCTGAAACTCTCATACCTTAGTCACGTGATGGGAAGAGCTGACTCATTGGAAAAGACCCTGATGCTGGGAAAGATTGCAGGCAGGAGGAGAAGGCGAGGACAGAGGATGCGATGGTTGGATGGCATCACTGACTCCATGGACATGAGTTTGAGCAAGCTCCGGGAGATGATGATGGACAGGGAAGCCTGGCCGGCTGCAGTCCACGGGGTCGCAAAGAGTCAGACACGACTGAGCGCTGAACCACAGCATGGGGAACCATTCAGACTGGATGAGTGACATGATTCCTGCTCTCATCCGTTTCCTCCCTCCCTCCCTCCCGTGTCCTTTCTGACTCCAGCGCCGGCCCTGTGGAGGGACTGGGTGCAGGGGGACAGGCCCCAGGGGCCCTGAGGACGCAGCTCTGGGGACCAGGGCACAGCCAGGCAGGCCTGAGCCTGGGCAGTGCCGCAGTGACGAGGTGCTGCCCAGAGCTGATGAGACGGCGGGCATCACAGGATGTGAGGACCAGGTGGACTGGGGGCAAGGGGCCAGGGAAGGACTGGAGATGACGGTGCCACTTACTCGTCTACCTCAGGTAACTGTGCTCATTGTGACGTATTAACTGAGAGGAGCCTACGTGGAAGGGGAGCGTCAGGGGTCTAGTGGAGAATCGCTGTGCTTAGTCGTCAGTCATGTCGGCCTCCTTGAGACTCCATGGACTGTAGCCCACCCTGGACTGAAAAATCCACTCACAGGACTTTCATTTCCTGCACCAGCGGACCTTCCTGACCCAGGGATCAAGCCCGCATCTCCTGTCCAAGAGGACTCATGTTGTCTGAGGAGCATTAGGTGAAGGTGTCCAGGAGACAAGTAGGAACAGAGCAGGATATGGGACGTAGGTGCTGGGAGCCGCATGCGGGACTCAGCGGCCCAGCCGTGTCTGTGTGTCAGAGAGTCAGAGCTGAGGACAGAAGCTGGGGCCACGGCAGGGTGAGCGCGAGAGCCACTCAGTCGTGTCCGGCTCTGCGACCCCGTGGACTGTATGGTTCATGTATGGAATCCTGCGGGCCAGAATGCTGGAGTGGGCAGCCTTTCCCTTCTCCAGGGGATCTTCCTGACCTAGGGATGGAACCTGCGTACCCACCATCGCAGGCCAATTCTTACCATCTGTGCTCCCAGACAACCCCCAGAGTTACAAAGGGGACCTGAAATCCTTCTGACAATCAATTGAAACTCAAAAGATTTTGAAATGATATCTTTTCCAACTAAATTTTCCATATGTGATTACTTTTAGGAAAGTAGCATTGTATCTGACAAAGCTTTCCCTATCTGGTTTAATCTGAAAGATCCTGCCAAAAAAGAAAAACAAGGCATTGATCTTCCTGACCCAGGAATGCAATGTGATTAACCATAGTATGAACGCAATCAAGAGTTATCTTATAAAAGATTTTCTGGAAGCTATGTCAGAAGTTTTCGAACACCATCCAGAAGGAAGAAGATTTCCATGTTTTTCAGTCTTTATTTCATGATCTGACTTTCAGCTCTAGAGAAGAAACACAATTGGCTTCTGGCAAGCGTACCCCAACAGGTCTGGGTAACCCGTCAGAGCACCATCTCCCAGCACCAGCAAGGTCTGTCCCTCTTGGCCTCCTGACTGTCAGCCCAGTGAGTCCTGTCTGGGTATTGTTAGCAACAGACGGTGCCTGCAGCTCTGCCTGCGGGCTCTCAGATGCCTTTTCTCAGCAGCCTTCAAAGAGCAACGCTGAGCATGGCCCTGTTCTGCAAGGGTTCAGAACTCTGAAGGCCTTTCTCCCTCTCAACTTCTTTCTTCAGTAACTTTGAAGACCTTACTCCTTGTAAGCTGTTTTCTTCCTCAGCTTTGAAGCCCTTTCTTCCTCTAATGTTGTTTTTTCATGAACATTGAAGAACTTTCCCCCTCTAAACTTTTTCTTCCTTAACTTTGAAGGCCTTTCTCCCTCTCATCACCTTTTTTTCCCGTTAACTTTGAGGACCTTACCGCCTGTAAACTTGTTTTCTCCTTAGCTTTGAAGACCTTTCTCCCACTAAACTTCTTCTTCGTAAATTTGGAGAGCTTCCTCCCTCTAAACTTGTTTTTTCATTTACTTTGAAGACGTTTGCCCCTCTAAACTATATTCTTCCATAACATTGAAGACGTTTACCTGTCTAAACTTGTTTCTTCCATCACTCTGAAAACCGTTCTCCCTCTAAACGTGTTTCCTCCGTGAGTGCTGTATCCTTGCATAATGAAGACTGTCAACTCAAACAGCAGGGACGTCTCAGCGTCTCCCAC